TAGAGTAGTGCAGATAGAGTAGAACAGATGGAGTAGTGCAGTGCATGCAGTGCAGATAGAGTGAAACAGTGCTGCGCTAGAGATTTTGTTTTGTTTTCTTTACATTCTTTGAACATTCCTGTGCCTGAGTTTATTTATTTGGTGGTACACTTTACAAGAATAATGCCCACAAGCTGCCTAAAAAAGGATGGTGTAAAATTTTAATTTTAGGTGACTTAGGTAAACATTAATTTTCTTCAACCAAAGCCAAATTCACCATCGAAAAAAACTGAATTTAATTCAGCTAATAGATACGTTAACACAACATTTAATAGGTATATTTAATAATTCAGAGGCGGTACGAAGTTCGCCGGGTCAGCTAGTCTGTTATAAAATGTGGATTTAAAATAAATATTTAAATATTTAATATAATAATGTTAGTGTGTTATAGGTATTTTCTGTTGTGTACATATAAATATATAAATTATTATGGTTTATTTGAAATTATTCTTGAAATATTTTTAAACAGATTCAAATTTATTTATAATTATCCAATATTGCATTTAGAGGATTCTGCATAGCATATTTAGTAATATTTCTTACTTCTCTGTGATGAAATGTGGATTTAAAATAAATATTTACATATTTAATATGAATAATTGCTGTACTATATGTATTTGTAATTAAACCCTTATTTTTTAGTAAAAAAATACGAGATAAATAATTTTAGTTTTTCCTATTAAACAATAAATAAGGACACGTTTACCTTATTTACTGTTTTATAAAAAAAACTAAAAGTATCTATCTTTGGTATTTTTTTTACTAAAAAATAAAGGTTTGATAACAAATACCTGCACCAAATATTTATTTTACATCCATATTTTATGACAGAGAAATAACAAATATTATTAAATATTCAGCGAATGTAGAATCCTCTGAAATGAAATTAATTATATTAAATGGGTAATAGGAAAACAAATAAAAACTACATAATTTTTAGATGAAGCAAAAAACATTTATTTACTCAACAACAGTTAATTCGAGATAATATAAATGCTAAATCTAAGTATCAGGTACCTAATCCAAACTTAGATTAAGGTATATAGTTACTTAATCCGGAAGGAATGTTTATATATTTTGCAAATAACAAAAAAAATATCATTTGTATCTAGTATGTACATTTAACAAAAGCAAAATTTTTAAACTTTTTTGGTTTAATACAGCCAATTTATCCACTTGAATAAAATTTGAAATAATAGAAAATTTCTTATATACTTACTGTAGGTACCCGCGCAAAAAGGAATTTACTTATTCGAGAAAGAATGTTTATATTTTGCAAATAACAGAAATTAATATCATTTGTAACCTGTACATTTAAAATTGCAAAATATCTAAACTTTTTTCGTTTATTAGATAGAGTCTTCAATATAATTTGAAATAATAGAAAAAATCTTGTACCTACTTACTTTAAGTACCCGCAAAAAAAGAAACATACTCATTCTAGAAATAATGTTGATATTTTGCAAATAACCAACCAAAATACATTCAATATTGCAAATTTTTTTTGGTTTAGTACCTACAGTCAAATCATTCACTTAAATATAATTCAAAATAACAGAAAAACTCTTTCAATTTAATAACCCGCAATCAAAACTTAGGAATATACTTACTTATTCTAGAAGATATGTTCATATTTTGCAAATAAAAACAATATCTTTTGTACCATGTACGGTAACATATATACAGGGTGTCCCAAATTCTAGGGTGACCATCATTGAGATCTCGGAAACTATAAGAGATACGAAGTGGGTTAAACTATTAGGCAGTTCGAATCAGCTGATAATTCAAGATCGCGATGCGGCACAAATGTAAACAAACCATTGAGGTTAGACATGCCTCCATATAAACACAGATATAAATGTGTGTTATTTCACTTATTTCTACCTGTTTCAGAGTTTAATTTGATGAATTTTAATTTATTTCAATTTTCTTTAATGTTCGTAGTTACTTGGAATATTTATCTATTAATAAAATACCTGGACATCAGGTACAAAACGAACCCCAAGAAGCTGTGCCCCAAGTAGGTAGAAAGGCCTAAATATAAGTTACATCAAGGTGATTTTCTGCACCTCCGATCAGTTGTTCATGTGCTCCAGAACTGTAAGCAGTCTGAAACATATAGTTCATAAATATTTTTTGATTTTTGATAAAATGCAGAATGCTTATCTACAAAAGTTATTGCTGGAATCTCCTGATGTTGGGAAGAGGTAAAAGTTTGTAGTTCACTTGTATTAAAAGATAATGAGCATATGAAACATGCCTTGCCAATCTTGGCATTTTTGACAAATATAAATTGTGCCAGAGGCAAATGAATGTCAAAAACATAAATTACATGAACCACAACAACGCTAAAAATAAAAATTTCTATCAAAAAACGTTCTCGTTCCCAAACTGCTAAAAACACTTTAGAAATTCACAGAAAAATTAAAATAAACAAGGTTGCGGTGAGGTTAGGCTGTGTAAACAGCCTCTTATGGACGTCAAGGTTAAGTTTGTTATGCCGCAACGCCATCTTAAACGTCAAACATCAAACTGCCCTATGGCAAAGTTGCGCAATTTTATGACCAATAAAATGCAATAACTGCAATAATGCACAATTTATGCTGCAATCTACACAATACACACAGAGAAAAGATGGCCACACGGCACGACCACACGTGAACCTTGCGCTCCGCAACCGCCAACACGAACGCGCCACGCGCCAACCCAATCAAGCCAACTAAACTGTCTAAACAAACTTTGTCTAAACTAAACTGGAACCGGTTTAACTAGTAATACCTGGTACGGTACGAGACGTCTGCATCAAACGATGAGTTGATGTATAGACATGAATCGATTCAAAGAACGCACAAATGTGATGCGAAATACATTGCTGTATTATTGTCTCCCAATAAACATAGGAGTGTAACTTTTAATAAATCGTGATTTATTATTAATACAGCCATATTATCTAACATCCAATATGATTTATAATTAAACAAGCCTTTTTTATCACAATTACTTATGATTTTATATATAATATTAATAAATTAATATGCAAAAATGTTTCTTTATTTTTAATTTTAATATTTCAAATGCTAATATAATTGTTTCATAGTTAAATATTATGAAATAGTTTTTGCAGTGCTTTTGTAGGAAATCAGCTGCGTTAATAGTAAATAATTCAGCAATAAATAAGGGAAATATTAATAGATAATACATATTTTTTGGGCGTTTACTGTAAAGAAGCACGTGTTATTAATAAATGATCAAGTATTTTTATGAGTAATAAATTACATTGGAATCAACGGTGGAATAATATTGAAAATCATATTTCTATCAGTGGGGAACGCTGCTCCCCTGTTCCAAGAATAAGGACCCAGCGGAGTTGGTGTTCAATGATAAGGGCTTCTTCAAGCTAGTTGTTTTTTTTTGGCCTCTTCCAAAACTCTAATGTTTGTTTGTCGGTCTTGCTATTTAATCCGTAGGGTCCTTCTTAGACCTCTACATGCCTATTCTCCTGTATGCCTGGTTGAAGGTTGAAGTCATTGATAATTGCCTGAAGAACTTCCTCTATATTGGCCATCTCGACGTTATCATCCGCATTATGAATTTCAATTATCGATGTGGTCGATACTCTCGTCTTGGCTCGTAACCTGTTTAGGTTGAATAAGCCGTCATCAATTCTGTACAGGATTTCTACTCCTAACGGCAGTTGACCCTCGACAAGGTGAATATGGATCCTATAAATAGAGAAAATAAAGTGGGTACAACAACACAGCCCTGTTTAATACCTGTAATTATTTGAAGACTCTTCATGCATGTCCATCGTTGCGTAGGACGGTTGCATTTATATTATCAATTATCACGCAGCAGTATCTGGATGTACCTACTTTTGCGGACACCCAACCTTTGCCAATATCTTCCAAAGAGCTTCTCTGTTGACCGAATCAAATGCTTTCACTAAATATATGAAGAACATGTATAGAGAGCGATTTTGTTTCCCGGATTTCTCTTGGTTTTGTCTTGCACTGAAAATCATGTTAGTTGAATCCAATGACATATTAACATAGATAGACATTGCAATAAACAAAATTTTGTGTCGCCAACATCTAGGAGAGCAATCCACCACCGGTGTATCCCCTCCAATTTGATTGCCAAATTGTTACGGATTGATATTTTATCCTGTTATGACTTTGCTTCAAAAAATTGGAGCGTCAAGACTAAAAACGACTACTGACAACGCCGGTTTTGTAAGAATTGTAAGACAGACGGTACACACGCTGCAATGGATTGGCATGTCAACCCGCCCATCAAACTTACATCATCTGAGCTAGAGGCAGACAGATAGATGAATGAGTTGCACCAGTGCGCATTTTTTGATTATTTTGGTCAAGTGAATGACGGGTTTAGATGGCACACCCATGATGCATCCCTACCATGACCCTCCTCGAGCAGCTCACTTCTCCTAGCCCATGGGGGTCTTGTCATCACAACATACATCAGTTTATGAATGAGATGCGGTGTCTATCTGTGTTAAGATGTCATTGGTTGAACCTCGGTTGGGTCTAAAGCCACACTGTATCTTTGGAAGGTTATTATGGTTCTTTTCGGCAGTTGGGATTAAACGACTGCAGTGCATAAAATCAACTGGTTCGGCTAGTGCGAATAGTGCGATAATTAACTTTGTTTGTTTTTTAAATGGTGGATAACTTTTTATGCTCTCCCTTCTAGGACTTGATGCACTAGGCAGACGGGTTAGTTTGGGTGAGTCTGGATTTTATTGATTATTATCAGACGAAACGAAATCCTTAACTATCAAACGTTGATATTGAACTATCACACCTACATATGGTGAAGAAAACTTTACGATAGAACTACCGGCCGTGAACGCCATTTTTTCATTTCCACTATTTAAATTCCTGTGTTTCTGGAAAAAGTAAAACAATCTTAATCATAAAATGCTGCTACCTAATTGTTTATATTTGTAAAATTATAAATTCCATTAAACTTTATGTTGGTGGTTATATAAACTGGTACCTAGTTATAATACGGGAGTAACATCTAAATATATATTTTCTTTAGCTCTCAAAGTTAGAGACAATGATTCAAAAGTGATATTTTCGGGCGTCTTTGGATTTAGCGCAAATCTATACTTCCTGAATTGCTTTATTAAATTCACTTTGATATGCATTAAGGCAATTTTGGAACCTAAAATAAATTATTAGGTACATATATCAATGAAAATAAAAGCTAGGTAGTTACCTATGCAAAATCTGGGTCCACCTCCAAAAGGCATAAAAACAAAATCCTGTCTTGAATGTTTATTTTCCGGTAAAAAATTTTCTGGGTTAAATTTCTCCGGATTTGGATAATATTCCGGGTCCATATGGATAAGCCAAACAGGAATAAGTACGAAAGTATTTTTTTCAATAACACTGTTAGTGCCAGGAATCGTGTATGTCTTGGTACATTGTCTTGGAACTTCTGCTGCAGGTGAGTATCGTCTTAAAGTTTCTGTAAAAACGAGCTTGATAGAATTTGAAGCTTTGTTTATTTCTAAAATTAAAAAAATAATTACCATATATACACATTTCAGAATACTTCATATCCGCCAGGTCATCATAAGTAATTTCCCCGTCAGGATTTCTCTTGCATATTCTCAAGATTTCTTCTCTAACTTTGTCTTGAATGTCTTGATTTTTCGCCAGTTCATACATGAGGAATGTTGTTGCAGTTGATGAAGTTTCATGACCTACGATTACATCTAGAATAGTAGTAGGTACTGAACGGCAGCGGAAGTACTTCTATACCATATCTATCGCGTGATGAAAAAACACAAGCAACTGGATTAATGGGGGATTCATAAAGAGTGTCCAACATCCTGCTAAGAAGAACACTGCAGGTATTATAAATGCGTCTAAGAGAAAGTAATTATCCAAACATGAGCAGAAGCTTACTGGCTGAAATATGGAAAGAAGGAAGAAAGTATTTTGAAAATTACCCTTCAATAGTGCAGCGTGAATGAACAGAACAAACCTAGTAATAAGACTCAAGACAAAGACTAATTTTGAGTTATTGTAATGTGTGAGAGTGCGCGCTTGAATTAATGCGGGAAAAAGACTACCTTCAAGATTTAATGGATAACTGGTATAATAGTATTTCAATGATTCGGCACAAAATTATGTACCTAAGTTGAGTACTAACCTGCACCATACATAACCATTGTATTAGCTATAAGTTCCTTTTCATCTAACTGATTTTCATTTTGTAAATGTATTAAAAGATCCATATAGTCTCTTCTAAAAACTCACAGAAAATACCTATATACTCAAAATTTTAAATCCAAAAATGTTTAGTTGTACCTGGACACGTTGTTTTTCTTTCTATAAGCGACAGTTTCCTTTATTAGTGGTATAAAGAATTTCGTGATTTTTTTTGAAGCAAATGTATGTCCCAATACCCCAAGGAGCTTCCAATTGAATATCGTTTCCATTATAAATCTTAATGTTCTCGGTGCAAATATTAATTGGCCATACTTTCTGAATTCGCTCTCTGGCACATTCAAGCAATCACTTTCCAGACCAAAGAAGCATGTGGCAATAACGTCGGTACCAAAACATGCGGTGTGCTCTTTTATTTCTAGTGGTTGTCCTGTTTTGGCATAAACTCCAACTAAAAATATATCAGAATTGGAAGTGTCATAAACATTTTAAGCATTGAATGTTCACCTTTCTTTTCAAGTCGCTCAGCTAAACTATACAATATCGCATAAACGCCCTTCATTTTACCAGAAGTAAATGTTGGTGATAATTTTGATCTTAAAGTTTTCCATTTTTCCCCGTCAACGTTGAAAATATGTTGATTTATGTAGTCATTTTCGTGATTAAATAATCCATGAGATGTAAAGTGTTCAAAATCTTTGGTCAAGATTTGTTTGATAAATTCCGGATGCACAGGTAAGAAGGTTGGTTTATAAAATAGATAAACACCGCCTAAAAAAAAAAAAAATTGATCAATAATTAGTAACATCCTTGGTTTATGTATAGAGGTAGGGTTGCCTTAGATCATCGACCAATCCAACCAACACTCTTTTAGTCCAATGCAATTCATTAGACGCTTATAAATACTACGCCAAATGTTCTCATAGTTTGGATGCAGTCGAATGCTACTTTTTTCTCTCCGCACTGACGAGGAAAAGTTTCAAAAACAAACCATTTCATCAAAATTTTCCAATTTTGAATTTACATCGACATCGGACGTAGGTAATTAGGGCTGGAACTCTGTAATCAATACAGATTGTTATCCCTATCGCTATGGCATTTGCTGTCTTCTTCTCTCTCTTCGAAATCAATAGAGAGAGGACGTTAATAGAGATAGAGAAAATATCTCTATTCGTTACAGAGTCCCAGCCCTGTTTAAATTTGCACTGATCAAAATTTTTTATGTCAATAGTTAATAATCATATGGCCAAGTTTTTAAATTCATCAATCACTTATACGCATTTCCTTTGATGACAAGTCTATCCTCTTTTGAGAGGCTTTGAAACAGAGGGTAAACCACCTTAGAATTATTATCACCAGCCTATGGGAGAATATGTGGAAATACAGAGAAATATTAGGTAGGAAGGGGAAATATAAGGAAGTACATTGTGTAGCAAAAACGCCCCAAGTACTCTATGTAAATTAGTTAGATGGTAAATGGCGAGCGGTATATTGATGGTGTTAATTTCCTTGGAGCTGCTACCTATAAAATTCTGGAAGGGTCTATTTGCAAGAGAGAGAAACAAACTATTGAGGTTTACTAAATTATATTTTATTATACATAAAACCCAAAAATTTAAATCAGCAAAATATCTTCCAATTCTGACAGCCTCATCTATTTCTATAAATTCAATTACTTCACATCCGTTCAAAAAATGTCATTATTACGGACCTTGGAATATCCATACTAAATAAGAAACGCCCTATTCCTACTATTCCCAATAACTTATAAGTTAACTTATTTCAACACTTCCGATTTATTCCTATTAAACTACCCTTCACCTATTTCTATAAATTCTTTAAAATTTCTAAGTCCTTTACTGACTACTTATGAAAAACCCAAAATAATTACCTATTTGTTTATTAATTTAGGTATTACTAACTTATTCTTATAAAACCTTACAACAATTTCTACATAAAATTTAAAAACCCCTTATTCAAAATTCATTTCATGAACAACAACTTTCCAATATTTTAAGACAATTCTATTTCACGAACATCAAGTTTCTTTTCAAAATTTCCTATTCCATTTAATAGTTTACTTATTCAGAACAAATTCTATTATAAGTTTCCTTTAACAACTTTCCAAGATTTCAAGACAACAATTCTATTTCATGAACATCAAGTTTCTTTAGCAAAATTTCCTATTCTATTTAATAGTTTATTTAATCAGAACAAATTCTATTTTCGGATTCCTATGCCTAGCTAATAAACACAACTGTTTAATTCATAATTCCTACTCAAAATTGTGTATTGTTTTAATTATAAATTCGCTTCATATTTTCTTTGCACAATTAAATTAGAATGTCATTATATCTGAAGGCAATTAAAGTTATGCAATAAAGTTCCAAAGTTAATTATAAAGTCAAAAAGTTTTTCTAGTAAAAATCACTCAAGTTTTTAGGCATTAAAAGTCATTGGTAATTCGCTTCTTATCATTCAGAATCATTGATAAAAGTCAGAAAGTTTTACTAGTCAAAATCACTCAAGTTTTTAGGCATTAAAATTCAAAGTTTAATCACACAAAGTCATGTTCATCATTTATATTCAAAATTGAACGAATTTCAAATGTTATTTCTTTCACAATTTTCCGTAATTTTTCTAAGTTAAATCGAACGCGTTTTCTCCGAGGCCCTAATAAGAATTTTTCGCGAATTTCAACCCTTCTGACTCATTAGGTACTATAAACTTTAACTCAAACTGGACTGGACTGCTAACAACTGGCAACTCAACTGACTTCCACTTCTAAAACCGCGGTATTTATATTTAATCGATCCCCCCGCAAAGTATTATTAATTATCCCCCAAAATCGTCAATAGGCGGTCGTTTGACCATCAATCAGACAATCCCATTGGCCGACCTAAATATTATTAAAAATAATGATGCAATTTCCTTGAAATTTTTATCATATTTTTAGTTTAAAAAATCGAATAATTATGTCGCAATATCCTGATTGATCGGGGTCAAATACATTGGTTCAAGAGTGCCATAAATCATTCGATTTAATTATTATGGTCTCGTTAAAAAAGTTCATTGATCGGATGTTAGGATGACATCACGCTGGGGAAATAATATAATTTCGAATGTATTTGGGGTCACATTAATTTGTTCCATTTTTAATTTATAGATACTGATTTGGAAATACCGGAAATTCAGTTTTTGATTATTTGATATTATTTAATTTTTTCAGTAAAGACATTGTTGATATCGGGACTATTTTTCCCGGATCATTACAATTGCAATATGGGGAAATATAAGATATTTATTATGAGGAAAGATCGGGGTTTTATTAGGAAATATCGGGTATTATTAGGAAATATCGAGCTATCATGAGAAAATATCGAGGCATTATTAGGAAGTATTGAGGTATTATTAAGAAATATTGAGGTATTATTTGGAAATATGGGGGAATTATTAGCGCATGTAATGTTACGAGCGCATCCGCACATCACGATGCCAATCGTCTTTGCAGTTTTGTAAATAAACCTTAGTATTTGTAAATAACTTGGAAAATAAACTCTAAAGCCTGATTTATAAACTCCACCATTCGTCGGTCGTTTCCTTTCTGAACCGCATCGTTCCTCCTTGGTTCGTCGTATGTTAAGTAGCCAATCAAATTAGACAATTTTTATCATGTATAGTGTATAGTCATGTGATACAAAATATAAATTTTGGGTTATGATGTGTTTCCAACAGATTATTATTATTAGGTAACAGTGGCGCAGCCAGAAATTTTGTTTGGGAGGGGGCCATGCAGAAAAAAATATAGGAAAAAACACAGATTCGCTTTCCTTTAAACTTTTTCTGATATGAGCAGTTTACAGCTTTCGTCTACTTTGTTATTTTTCTATTTTTCTCTGAAGCCTGCGCCACTGTTAGGTATATTTTGTAGACGCATATGATTAAAAACTTTGTAAACTATAGTTTTAAACAAAAGTCAAGAAAACATACCATTCATTAATCGGGTATTTTCTTGCTTACACAATTATCATTCGGTTTTACAACGATTTCATTGGCCCTAGCTGTTTTTTGACGCCTCATAAACAAACTTTATGTGATTACAATCAGTTTGTACAAATCGAAAGAATACCTGGATTAATTGAGAAAAATCAACCTAAATATGCATAAAGTTTGTCAGCGGGAACGGCAACAATGTATAGTTTATGAATGCTCACAATACCTCACAACAGATGACACCAACAGCGACAGTGAATAGAAATTTACCAGTTTCTACTTTCAGAATTTTCTCCAGTCTAGTTTGTTCCTCAGAGATAATTGTTTGTATCCATACACTCTGAAATTTAAAGTTTTCCTGAAGCCGGTCCTGTTCTTCTTGTTTTTCTTTCTATATATTCGATCTTCTTATTGTAAAAATGCTGCAACCCGGGTTTCGATACATTTTCTTAACAATAAGAAAGGAAATATTGGGAAATTATCAGAACTTACGGAGGAATTATGTTAAATATTAGGGAATTCCCGGAAATATAAGGGAATTATAAGGCATTTTGGGGAATTATGAGGCAATATCGGGAATTACTGGAAAATACAAGAAATAAAGGCAATATTCGGCGGGAAATAATTCCCTCAAGGGAAAATATTTGTCAAAAATCTCAGGGGTGGTTTACCCTTTGCCTTCAAATGACATGGACAGCATCACATTGGCTTAAAAGCTTGGCTTATTGTGTCCCTGCTCTGTGGCGCGAAGTCCTGCATTTTTTCCGCTAGTGAAAATGCGGATATTTTTCTCGGCTTACACGTCACAGTGAGTGTAACGGAATTGAAGTAATCCTCATAGACTTTAACCAACAAATCAGATACGTTTTAGCCAAGGTCGACTCTTGAATTTTCAGACAACAAAATTTCGGAAAATAACAATAAAATTATTAATTAACCAACTTATTTGAAAACACACAATCAAACAACGTAGACACAAAAGCTCGTAATCTGAGTCGGTAAAGCCATTTTTTTCTGAATATTAATTTGTTCAATAAAAATAATAATTCTATTCAGTAGGTACTCAATTCTCGAAATCCTGGAATTCGTAGGTGTCCAATTTAACATTAGTAGAAGAATCTTGAGTGTGGTCCTTAAGTGCGTTTTTATCCCCTGGAAATTTTAAGTGATAACGTGTCGATTACCAGGAAACGTTTATCTGAATATTTTCATGCAAATTGAATTGAGAATTTAAGGAATGTTTGTTTGCTTATATGCAGGGATCGGCTTTTCTGTTATTTGGTGGTCGGTGGGAATTCCTACAAAAAATTATGACTGGGTTTACCAGTGAACATATTTGCCAATCTTTTTCGAAATGGATTTCAAATATCTGTTTTAATGTCACACGTAAATATAGGACCACAAGACAGCATCAAAATCCTATAAACATTTTGAACTAGAAGTTCAAATTATTGACTCAGGACCGGTTTATCAGTGGACGGTTATTTAGTTTAGATGTTGGTTAACAAATAATCATCATTGGTTAACCGACAGCTAAACTAGATGACCGTCCACTGATAAACCGATCCTAGCAATCGTTGTAACTTTTAAATATTGCAAGAAATCTCAAAACAATTGGGCATAAGGTTGACCTGGTGTGTATAAGGATGACCTCTCCTCTTGTGGAGGCGCACAATGGGCCTAATATGGCTTTAGTGCTGTGGCATACCACCCTCCCTAACTTACAGATATAGAACGTGTACAAAAATTTCCAGAAAAGCTGTCATTCTATAAGGAACCAGGAGAGTTGAAATTGTCACAGACAATTTCATAAAGGATGAGCTGATCTGGCAGATGAGGTTGATCCTTTTATTATACCACTTCTCAGACAAATCATTAAACAACTCAACGTGGAGATTGATGATCAGAATAAACACATGGAAAAGATGAAAACGCAGAAAAATGCACTAGTTGCTGAGTTTGAATCTATTAAAAGTCAGCTCGTACCAGGAATTAATAGCCTAAAAAAAATTGTCAATGGACAACCGAAAAACAGTTGCTGATGCGCCGCATGGTTGCTTACTCTGTTGCACAGATACAGACACAACGTATTGCACACAAACAACATGTGAGACCCCAAATTCAGAAACTTGGCAAGATGTTAAATATGGCGAGCGGTGTCTTCAGTTTCTGAGTGGAGACACAGTTTAAAGTGGGTCCTATTTGCGGTGGAGAGAGTAAAACACAGAAATATTGTGGTCAATTAGAATAAAGTTTATTTTATTAAAATAAATAAAGCTTGTTATTAAATAAAAGGCGTCGGTAATAAATAATCTCACAATAAAATTGTTAGATTTCTAATAAGCATCAATAAAATGTTAAGGAAAATTTATATGATTCCAAGTAAAAATTTTTATTTACAGTTGACTCGATTCACACTCTTGCCTTCACAATTTCTGGCTGAACATAAAAAAAACTCTACTTACATTTAACAATAATATATTTACTGCTGGCCACACCTAATTACATGGAAATCTTATTGGTCGAAGGAATTTACTTTAATTGTGAACTCTTAATAAAAAACTCAAATACTTTCGCGCTGTTATTTCACGTCGTGCTTCTTCTCTCGGTAGATTCGACAACTCTTTCACGCCGTAGTTCTGACTTTCTGGACACAGGTCTCTCAATTCTCGATTACTACTTGTTTCTTGATTACTCAACCGACACTGGTCCTTCACGCCGTAGTTCTGCCCATTTACTTTTACTCGCTCTTTCTCGAACACTGGTTTTCTCGAAAACTGATTTTCTCCTGCCAAAGTTGCCTTTTTATATCTTTGGTCCCTCCATTGTCTTGAATTTCTTTATTGTTTCTGACCTCGATTTTTCGTGGTTGAATCATCCGATCAATTAGTGTATTTGGTGCCCTTTTAATTAATTATCAAGATGATGCAAGCATGATTTATTGATCCTTTAAGACATTTTTCGGCTCCTTTGGAATGTTAATTGTTGAAAGCACTTGAAAAAAAAGGTCCATGAACTTTTGCTTTATTCACATTCCAATGTATTAGTCAATAGGTATAGAGTATCGGCTTTCAATCATTTCTGGATATCGCTGTTCAGATAATTTTTAATTGAAGTTTCTGGTTGTGCTGTCTAAGTGATGATCTCTCCTGGGATGGTTATTTAGTAAGTCCTTGTTATTCTTGATTAAAATTTCTGTAGTCACTACAAACATTAGCTGTCAAACTAGCAAGGTCTTGCATGGCAGTGCAGAATCTTTAGAGCAGGAGTTGCATCGTTCCATAGCTGCACTTAATGAACTCATAAAGCTTGATGATAATAAAATACTCACTGCCATCGAAACTCTTGAAATTGATAATAGGTTCCTATCAAAGGCAATAGAAAACTTAAAAATGTCTATTACCATTTTGGACCTGAACAATCATATGAAATGTTATTATCATGATCAATACCATTAATTTTGAGGTTTTGAATAAATAAAATGGAATAATCACCTAAGGATTATAGAAGGTGCAGGAGGAATGCATGAATGAGCATTTTATTTATAAATAATAAATTAGTGATTTATCACACTCCTGCTTCCTTAATTGGGTTACATGTAAGGTACATATCAATTAAAATTAATAGATCATTAATGATATAGCAAAAATAACATTAGTATACCAACTATATTTTTATTTCCAAGAAAAAATGTATAAACAGAATTTGTAACAGAAACGATCTTTGTATCAGTTATGCTTCAATATTTTCAATAAGAAAGGAAATGCAGGAAAATGAACACTTGGTTGATCCTCTCTTGAAATGACGAAAAGGTATTCTCAATGATCCCAATATTTGGAAAGTGAATTTCAACTGAACTGGAGAATTGCAATTTTTCGAAAGTGATTAGACTAGACATATTTCGTGGCAGACGAGATAAGAAATACAAAACAAACACTTTATTTACCTACATTTTACTTTCATGTTTCAAAATTAGGCGGGCATCCAAATCCACTCCTCACTATTATAGATCCCTAATTATTTTAAACATTTGATAAGTGAGGTTTCAAATCGTGTTTTTGTAAGTTAATTTATTTGTTGCGAAATATTTCATTTTTTATCGCTGTTACACAAGTTGAATTTACGGATTTCAGTTCTCTAAATGCAATAAACCGGACCTTATAGGTACGGATGTATACACGGTGTTCCACATAAAATTTACTACATGGGGATTTCGGAAACGGTAAGAGATACAATTTTGGTTGAATAGGAAAAAGTTGCGCTATTCCAAGCCCAATCAGATGCTGCGTCGAAACTGAAAATATCCACAGGGGTTTTCAAAATATCGAGCAAAAACTAAAAAATGTGTTGAAACATCGTCGCCATCTTGTGAACAAAAAGAGCTTTTTAACCATGTATAACAGGCCTATCTTTGAATGACGGATTACCATTTACCCAAAATTGTATCTCTGACCATTTCCGAAATTCCCATGTAGTTACTTTTACCTGGGACATCGGGACACCCTGTATAATAATTACTCACTTCATGTAACTCATTTATCACCACATTTTAGTTGCTGGAAATTTACTCTACTTACCATACTGTTTATTTTCCTTCTTCAAATCATAATATTGCTTTCTAAAACCATTACAAAGCTTAACTTTTCCTTGAAAAATTTCTTTACCATTCCCAAAAAAGAAATCGGGATTAAATTGCCTTATACCCCTTCTCGTCCAGTAAGTATGTTTATGTTTTAGAAACAAATAATTTGCAACACAGCAAGCTGCAAAAGAAAACAGCCACCAAATCATATCTCAATTAACAGAATCTTATTGCATTAACACTGATATTAAATGATTGCATAGGTGCCTAGAAGCCAAATTCGCAATTAATACATAATTTTCCTGGTAGAATCACAGTAACATCAACAACATACTCAAAACGAGTTTGTTTAAGCACGTGTGCCAATTATGAAAACTTGATAAGTCATGGTTAAAACAGCATTTAACATAACATAATAAGAGTTGACGACCAATGGTCATACGTTTCGGCTGACTGTGGAATTATTTTTCAAAAAAAAAATTATTCTAAACAAACATTCATATTGTTCCATACCTTCCGCACTCTCAAAAATTAAATTTCTCGGCTACAATGTACTTATATTTAATTGTACCCATTGGAAAAGTTGTTTAATGCATATTTGTCTAAAGCCAATAAAAGTTTTCTGCTTGTTTTTGACATAGGTTTTTGAATAGCGGTATTCATAGTTTATCGGCATTTTATTCTCAGTGCAGTGGCGCACCCAGAAAATATGTTTGGGGGGGCCCTACAATTGTCACATTTTTTTATACGTGAAAATTTAGTTTTGTAGGGGCGACCTAGGGCTTCCCCCTGGGTGCGTCACTTTCCAGGAAATCTCGGAAACTTTGGAAAATGAAGTTTTTTTTTTCCAAATATCCAGAAGACTTTTAGCTTTAACATACTAAAATTTGATTGGAAAAAGCAGAGACAGCGGAGTTACGATTTTTTTAATCCCAGAGAGACAATAAGTGATATTTTTACAATACTGAGTATGGCCTGATTTTTGTTTTTTTTTTTCCTAGAAATCTGGGAAACTTAGGAAAATAAAGAATTTTTTTAAATATCCAGAAGCTTTTTAGCTTCAACATACTAAAATTTGATTAAGAAAAAAACAAAGATAGGAGAATTACGAATTTTTTAATTCCAAAGAGACACTAAGTGATATTTTTACGATAACGATTGTTGCCTGATTTTTGATCTTTTTCAATCAACATACCCCAAACTCCAAACACTAAATTATTGTCAGATTTGAAGCCGAAATCTATGAAAAAAGGCACTCAGAAAAATTGAAAAATTGATAAATCACCCCAAATTGCTTAACACGATTTTATCTCAGGAACTATAAGTGCAAATGAGCTGAAATTTTCAGGGATTGTAGTCTTTTGAAAGGTATAAAATTCAGTGAAAGTTTCAGCTTTCTATCTATAATAAAAAAAAAGATATGACCTTTCAAAGTTTTCCAAAAAATCATAAGGGGGGTACCTACCCTCTTACTAAAACGATGAAATTTCAAATTTTTTTTGGTCGAGATTTTGTATCCTTATAGTCAATCAACATACCTTAAACTCCAAACACTAAATTATTCTCAGATTTGAAGCCGAAATCTATGAAATAAGGCACTCAGAAAAATTGAAAAATTGATAAATCACCCCAAATTGCTTAACACGATTTTATCTTAGGAACTATACGTGCAAATGAGCTGAGATTTTCAGGGATTGTAGTTATTTGAAAGGGATAAAATTCAGTGAAAGTTTCAGCTTTCTATCTATAATAGAAAAAAGTTATGACCTTTCAAAGTTTTCCAAAAAAATCATAAGGGGGGTACCTTCTTACTAAAACGATGAAATTTCAAATTTTTTTTGGTCGAGATTTTGTATCCTTATGAACAATCAACATACCCCAAACTCCAAACACTAAATTATTCTCAGATTTGAAGCCGAAATCTATGAAATAAGGCACTCAGAAAAATTGAAAAATTGATAAATCACCCCAAATTGCTTAACACGATTTTATCTCAGGAACTATAAGTGCAAATGAGCTGAAATTTTCAGGGATTGTAGTCCTTTAAAAGGGATAAAATTCAGTGAAAGTTTCAGCTTTCTATCTATAATAGAAAAAAAGTTATGACCTTTCAAAGTTTTCCAAAAAAATCATAAGGGGGGTACCTTCTTACTAAAACGATGAAATTTCAAATTTTTTTTGGTCGAGATTTTGTATCCTGATGGTCAATCAACATACCCCAAACTCCAAACACTAAATTATTCTCAGATTTGAAGCCGAAATCTATGAAATAAGGCACTCAGAAAAATTGAAAAATTGATAAATCACTCCAAATTGCATAACACGATTTTATCTCAGGAACTATAAGTGCAAATGAGCTGAAATTTTCAGGGATTGTAGTCCTTTAAAAGGGATAAAATTCAGTGAAAGTTTCAGCTTTCTATCTATAATAGAAAAAAAGTTATGACCTTTCAAAGTTTTCCAAAAAAATCATAAGGGGGGTACCTTCTTACTAAAACGATGAAATTTCAAATTTTTTTTGGTCGAGATTTTGTATCCTGATGGTCAATCAACATACCCCAAACTCCAAACACTAAATTATTCTCAGATTTGAAGCCGAAATCTATGAAATAAGGCACTCAGAAAAATTGAAAAATTGATAAATCACCCCAAATTGCTTAACACGATTTTATCTCAGGAACTATAAGTGCAAATGAGCTGAAATTTTCAGGGATTGTAGTCTTTTGAAAGGTATAAAATTCAGTGAAAGTTTCAGCGTTCTATCTATAATAAAAAAAAAGATATGACCTTTCAAAGTTTTCCAAAAAATCATAAGGGGGGTACCTACCCTCTTACTAAAACGATGAAATTTCAAATTTTTTTTGGTCGAGATTTTGTATCCTTATAGTCAATCAACATACCTTAAACTCCAAACACTAAATTATTCTCAGATTTGAAGCCGAAATCTATGAAATAAGGCACTCAGAAAAATTGAAAAATTGATAAATCACCCCAAATTGCTTAACACGATTTTATCTTAGGAACTATACGTGCAAATGAGCTGAGATTTTCAGGGATTGTAGTTATTTGAAAGGGATAAAATTCAGTGAAAGTTTCAGCTTTCTATCTATAATAGAAAAAAGTTATGACCTTTCAAAGTTTTCCAAAAAAATCATAAGGGGGGTACCTTCTTACTAAAACGATGAAATTTCAAATTTTTTTTGGTCGAGATTTTGTATCCTTATGAACAATCAACATACCCCAAACTCCAAACACTAAATTATTCTCAGATTTGAAGCCGAAATCTATGAAATAAGGCACTCAGAAAAATTGAAAAATTGATAAATCACCCCAAATTGCTTAACACGATTTTATCTCAGGAACTATAAGTGCAAATGAGCTGAAATTTTCAGGGATTGTAGTCCTTTAAAAGGGATAAAATTCAGTGAAAGTTTCAGCTTTCTATCTATAATAGAAAAAAAGTTATGACCTTTCAAAGTTTTCCAAAAAAATCATAAGGGGGGTACCTTCTTACTAAAACGATGAAATTTCAAATTTTTTTTGGTCGAGATTTTGTATCCTGATGGTCAATCAACATACCCCAAACTCCAAACACTAAATTATTCTCAGATTTGAAGCCGAAATCTATGAAATAAGGCACTCAGAAAAATTGAAAAATTGATAAATCACTCCAAATTGCATAACACGATTTTATCTCAGGAACTATAAGTGCAAATGAGCTGAAATTTTCAGGGATTGTAGTCCTTTAAAAGGGATAAAATTCAGTGAAAGTTTCAGCTTTCTATCTATAATAGAAAAAAAGTTATGACCTTTCAAAGTTTTCCAAAAAAATCATAAGGGGGGTACCTTCTTACTAAAACGATGAAATTTCAAATTTTTTTTGGTCGAGATTTTGTATCCTGATGGTCAATCAACATACCCCAAACTCCAAACACTAAATTATTCTCAGATTTGAAGCCGAAATCTATGAAATAAGGCACTCAGAAAAATTGAAAAATTGATAAATCACCCCAAATTGCTTAACACGATTTTATCTCAGGAACTATAAGTGCAAATGAGCTGAAATTTTCAGGGATTGTAGTCCTTTAAAAGGGATAAAATTCAGTGAAAGTTTCAGCTTTCTATCTATAATAGAAAAAAAGTTATGACCTTTTAAAGTTTTCCAAAAAAATCATAAGGGGGGTACCTTCTTACTAAAACGATGAAATTTCAAATTTTTTTTGGTCGAGATTTTGTATCCTTATGAACAATCAACATACCCCAAACTCCAAACACTAAATTATTCTCAGATTTGAAGCCGAAATCTATGAAATAAGGCACTCAGAAAAATTGAAAAATTGATAAATCACCCCAAATTGCTTAACACGATTTTATCTCAGGAACTATAAGTGCAAATGAGCTGAAATTTTCAGGGATTGTAGTCCTTTAAAAGGGATAAAATTCAGTGAAAGTTTCAGCTTTCTATCTATAATAGAAAAAAAGTTATGACCTTTCAAAGTTTTCCAAAAAAATCATAAGGGGGGTACCTTCTTACTAAAACGATGAAATTTCAAATTTTTTTTGGTCGAGATTTTGTATCCTGATGGTCAATCAACATACCCCAAACTCCAAACACTAAATTATTCTCAGATTTGAAGCCGAAATCTATGAAATAAGGCACTCAGAAAAATTGAAAAATTGATAAATCACTCCAAATTGCATAACACGATTTTATCTCAGGAACTATAAGTGCAAATGAGCTGAAATTTTCAGGGATTGTAGTCCTTTAAAAGGGATAAAATTCAGTGAAAGTTTCAGCTTTCTATCTATAATAGAAAAAAAGTTATGACCTTTCAAAGTTTTCCAAAAAAATCATAAGGGGGGTACCTTCTTACTAAAACGATGAAATTTCAAATTTTTTTTGGTCGAGATTTTGTATCCTGATGGTCAATCAACATACCCCAAACTCCAAACACTAAATTATTCTCAGATTTGAAGCCGAAATCTATGAAATAAGGCACTCAGAAAAATTGAAAAATTGATAAATCACCCCAAATTGCTTAACACGATTTTATCTCAGGAACTATAAGTGCAAATGAGCTGAAATTTTCAGGGATTGTAGTCCTTTAAAAGGGATAAAATTCAGTGAAAGTTTCAGCTTTCTATCTATAATAGAAAAAAAGTTATGACCTTTTAAAGTTTTCCAAAAAATCATAAGGGGGGTACCTTCTTACTAAAACGATGAAATTTCAAATTTTTTTTGGTCGAGATTTTGTATCCTTATGAACAATCAACATACC